TAGAGTTATTAGCAAATGAAAATGCGCTGGGTAAAATTTACCCATGTGTCGAGTTTACGTAACTTTTCGACGTGTCGGGTTCTAGGGTTAAGTATCAATTTGATTGTCAAAAAATAATTTGTTCAAGATTGTTTTAACATTGCAACAATATAAAGAATTAATGTACAAACATTAACCTAAATTCAACGTAGAAAAGATATTTATACTACAACATCCAACATTGCAACGTTTCAGCAACATTATTTTAACTTTCTGTGCTGTATGGGGTTATAAACATGTAGTCATATAAACTTTTTTAAACGATATTTAGATATTTAATTACCGTTAATTTGTACAGTGTAAAATAATTGAAATGCTAAAACAAATACTAGGCGAGCTATAATAGACGCGCTGCTCTTACCGAGAATATGAGACGGAAGAGGCGCGTGTCCGCCAATTTTTTCCGGTCCGTAGAGATCTCTCAGCTTTCTGCGAACATAAGCGTGCAGCTCTTCGTAAAGCGGACGTATCGTTTCCCAAGTCTCGTCGACGTCCTGTTGGAAATTGGGAGATTCGTAAGGGAACATCCAATATTCGGCGGCGTCGGTGAAGTCTATAAAAAGAGATAATAGCGTAATATTAATCCTCAACACCCGGAGTAGCTGTCAGCGATTTCCATATCGTATTCTGCATGTACTAATTAATCCAAACGTAAACACTAATCCTATTGCTCGTCGTTAAAGATTGAAACACTGTTAACACTAGAAGCGTGAGAGATTCCCGATGATAGGACACTAAATTCAACACTCGTAATCTTTTTGCAATCTCGCCTGGAGCGAAGTTGTATGCCGGTCGACTACATCAGCATTGTAGATTCCATTTAACGTGTCATACTTCCGGTACAGAGATAAAATTAGACGTACTATTCATTCGTGCTGCATCATTGGTCAACGTAACGAGTTGTTGATACAGATCCCTGATCGGTCTGCCACTTCGTCTCCTCCACTCGGTCCAGACGTACTGCAGTTCGTCCCAGTCCCGACTTTTCGCCATGATCTGCGATATATCTGTAATAAGACATATGGTGTTAAAATTTGTGCTTATCGAATACGTCATGTGTCGTCCGTACAAGATATTTTATCAAATATCACGCGAGTGACTTAATTACGCGAATATTTTACGTCCACGGAATAGCACCGGTAGCATAATCATAGTATAACTAGTCCACTCCGTCATTTCTTTCGTTTTGCGTCGATTCCTTCGGCGCATCCGACATTGTTCTGAGCAGATCATTAAGAAAAAAGTTGTATGTGCGATAGTGTGGTTTTGATGAGTACGTGTGTACAAACAGAAAAATATATGCTACCTGCAAATATTATTTGTTCCAAGTATGTGATAACTTTATATATCCGCAAATCTATCATAATGTCGTCGCAAGTGTTATATTTACTCAAAACATATTCTGGTTCTTAGTAAGTCTAGTACTTCAAACAAGAATACGTAGAATTATTTGAAGCGAAACAATTTTGTTTCTTCTGATTTTATTAAAAGAAGCATACGGAATTCTTCAATAAGTTTTATGATTTTCTTCAAAGAAGAATAAATTCTTTCTTCGAGTATAAGATGGCAAGCTTTTCTAAGACTAGTAACAAGTATATCTTAAAACTATTATTAAGAAAATATTTGTTGAAGCAAACTATTACTTAAACGGAATAAAATAAACTGAGTAGTTACTTTTCTTGACTGTACAATAATATTTTTCTGTGTGTACACACACACACACACGTCGCTGGATCTTGCCCGGATGTATGGCGGAATACCACGTGATCGGGAGTGCAAAGATCAAAGGGGCCGACAGAGAGTGGACCTACTAGTTGTCCTATGGCATAATAGTGCTCTCTTTTTCATTTTGGTAAAATTTATCGATTAATTAATATCCTACTGACTGAAATAAGCTAAAGCTTAGGGCCTGGGCGGAATGGCTGTCCTTATACTCTTGAAACAGCCTTAAGACAATGTTTTATGTTTTAAGTCTTTGTCTTGAGGTAACGCACAATAACTGTCTTATGTCTTCAGAGTACGAGACAGCCATTCTGCTCAGGCCCGAAGACTACACAGATGCGTTGAGCTGCGGCAACGCGTGCGACGATGCGAGTCGACCAATTGGAAGTTTGCCGCAAGCTCCCTGCATTGAAATCTTTTGATTCGTTGCCGCACGCGTTGCCACACGCGTTGCCACGGTTCAACACGTCAATGGAGTCTGATCTTAAGACTCCATGGCACGTTGAGTCGACCAATTAGAAGCTTGCCGCAAGTTTCCTGCGGCAGCCTGCGTTGAGATTGAAATCTTTTGATTCGTTGCCGCGGCTCAACGCGTCTATGGAGTCTTAGCTATATTATTAGATAAAACAAAACTATGGGCCGTAAATTTCTTCATCGGGTCGCGTAAATTCAGTCCTTTGCCCTCGCGGCTCGGGCGCAGCCAATTATCATTTTCGTGGCACGCGCGCAAAAAATAAATTCTCAGGTTAAACTACATTTAACTGCGTGGCCTCTTCGCTGAATTAATTAATTAATTGTTCGCTTTCTATTTGCGCATGTTCTGCGATGCGTCGGGTCGTGTTCGTTTCGCGTCTAAATGGGCGTGCACGGGGGATTTGCATTAAACATAAGAATAACAGACAATTAGAGGCGCACACAGCGCGGCGCGGAGCTTCTCGTAAATTAACGGAGAAGAAGTAGGGACTCTCCCTCACCCCGGGAGGGCTTGCGCTCGCTCGCGTGACGTATCCTATTTTCTTCACACTTTCATGCGCATTTTGGACTTACGTAAATTCCGCGCGTGGAATTTCGCCGCGACGAACCGTGAACGATGCCGGCGCGGCGCGGCGCGGCGCGGCGCGGCGGCATCGTGCCGATCCGATCGTTATTCAGCGTAATTCGCGCGATGTATTACCTGGATATAAACGCAGCCCGCACCGGAACGGATCGTTGTAGGCGCATATGGTCGCCGCGTTATAAATCGCAAGCATGTCGTTGATAAGGCGATTGTACTGCGAAGAAATCATTTTATTGCTATATTAATAATATTTACTGTCACGTTGTTCGTTAAACGAGTATGAATGTTGCATGCAGTTGCGCGCGAAAACGAAGCTAGCTTACCCTGTCCAGTTGGTCAGGTGGCAGTGCCGAAGGGCCCACCGCGGACAAATAACGGAGTCGCCGCCTGATTATGGGATCCCGAATGCCATTTACATCGATTCTGGAGATTAAGAGCCAAGCTTGGTACTGGAAGTCCGCGTACAAGCGTTGGGCGTCCAGCTGAAAGGCGAAAATATTCAAAGCAATGCTCGCGTAATGCAAAAATAAGTGCTTTTTTGTTACACTCGCTCGGAGAGGTAAATAAATCTAATTCTATTTCCTTCACGGAACAAAAATGTAGCTGCCGTAGCCGAAAACTGCATGCAGTAACTAAATGTCAGTTGTAAAATATGGACAGCTAATATTCAGTTGTGATAGCTAATATTTCGCTACTGTCATTGTATTAGGTATGACAGCCCCAACCGTTTACTGTGGTTTAGAAACTTATAGTTAACGCAGCAAAATAGTTTTAGCAAATCATGATTAGCTACGGTAGCGAAACATTTTTTTTTCCCCAATATTTTTACCCCGAAATGATAAAAGTGAGCAAATTCGTGTTGCCTTGTAAATTTAAGTTGTATTAATTGTGCAATTGTATTAATTACATGACGTAAGAAAACTAATCTCTCGGCGACCGATTAGGAAACGTGCAGTTGCAGTGAAACACGAATCGGCGAACGACGGTTTCACCGTTAGAGATAAAACACGCCGTATCTATGTTCTTCCTGGCAGTAACCTGCATTCGAAGAAAAGTGGCTATAAGAAAGTGAAATTGCGTTTGAGCTCGTGTGTATGTAAAACACCAATCATTATTTAGTAAAATTCGATTACGCAATCGCCGCGTAATGCGTTACGCTTATGGGCAGTTTGTAATTTATAACAATACACTACGTACGTGATATTCGTATATTTATCATTATAATATATGAGAAACCGCATAATACGCGAATTCTAGTTATATATTACGTGGTACGTTGCTTCCACGTACAATGACAACATACGTAAGGCATCAGCTCAGATACCACGTAATACGTGCAACGTAGCTTTTGTCATCTGATCGCTACACAGAGAGAAAAGTACGTATTATTTGCGACTATAATTGCATAGTAAAATAATTATAGTCAGGAATATCATTTTTATAGTAATTATCACTATAATATTAGTAATAACAACCACATAGTCATAGTGATGCCAACCAGCATAAAAATTTTACTATTATTTATGAAGCTTTTAACCATTATTCTGATAAAATATTAAGATGGTGAATAGTAACTAAATTAACTAGTTTTACATAGTAGGTGCAAGTACAATAATAGTAAATTTAACTATACTTTCTATCATCCACTTTACTATTCGCATGGTAAACAAAAGTGAAATGGTTCGGAATGTCTTCACTAGAGGGACGCGCGGTACAAGACTCTCTCGTAAGTAAAAAACCGCTTAGGGTGTTATAAATACGGATAAGTTTACGCATTCGTATAAGATTGCTTATCTTTTCTTTGAAAGATGCTATCTTGTACTATTCTTTATGAGTGCAAAGTGATGTAACCAATGAATATAATGAAATTACTATTACATATAGTTATTCGAAATTTTACTTGTGGTTGTTATTGCAATATTCATAGTACACCTTACCAAATTAAAAGCTCGTTTTGGTTTATGACAACCATATCATAAGTTGCATGGACCAATATTGTGTCTATGAGAACTATAATACATTGTTAGGTCAACCATAACTTACGTAGTTGGAAGAATTATAAAAATATGGTTGGGTCCAAAAATGACTATAAATTATAGTGAGATTGTGGTAACTGCAACTATTTTTTTCTCTCTGTGTACACTGAGAGAAAAGTGCGTAGTATTTGCGACTATAATTGCATAGTAAAATAATTATAGTCAGGAATATCATTTTTATAGTAATTATCACTATAATATTAGTAATAACAACCACATAGTCATAGCGATGTCAACCAGCATAAAAATTTTACTATTATTTATGAAGCTTTTAACCATTATTCTGGTAAAATATTAAGATGGTGAATAGTAACTAAATTAACTAGTTTTACATAGTAGGTGCAAGTGCAATAATAGTAAATTTAACTATACTTTCTATCATCCACTTTACTATTCGCATGGTAAACAAAAGTGAAATGGTTCGGAATGTCTTCGCTAGAGGGACGCGCGGTACAAGACTCTCTCGTAAGTAAAAAACCGCTTAGAGTGTTATAAATACGGATAAGTTTACGCATTCGTATAAGATTGCTTATCTTTTCTTTGAAAGATGCTATCTTGTACTATTCTTTATGAGTGCAAAGTGATGTAACCAATGAATATAATGAAATTACTATTACATATAGTTATTCGAAATTTTACTTGTGGTTGTTATTGCAATATTCATAGTACACCTTACCAAATTAAAAGCTCGTTTTGGTTTATGACAACCATATCATAAGTTGCATGGACCAATATTGTGTCTATGAGAACTATAATACATTGTTAGGTCAACCATAACTTACGTAGTTGGAAGAATTATAAAAATATGGTTGGGTCCAAAAATGACTATAAATTATAGTGAGATTGTGGTAACTGCAACTATTTTTTTCTCTCTGTGTACGAGCCAACTCATATGTGGCCACGATGTCGAAAGAAATATCAAAAGGAAATACGTATAACAAATTGTTTTCTAACTGCTACCAGAAAAATTAATTATCTCATCAACAACCTCGACGACCAGTCATTGATACTTCCCATGCGATAATGAGGCAAGGCGGTGGTTCGTTGTACATCGACGTTCTCTGCGGAAAAGGAAAACCGCGGCGGCGGTGGCGGGCGCCTCAATTATCGTTAACGTCACGCGACGCGAGCCTCGCTGGGTTTTGCATTGAAAAGTACAAAACTCCCGTTTCCCGACGATACGAGACGGCAACGGGCGGGCGTTGCACAACCGTTCAGGATGATTATCACGACAATGGCATCGCCTGGGAAGATTTCCCGCGGAGGCGTTCGGCCTTTCGCGGACAATGCGAGCACGCCTCGTGCCAGGGAAAATCGTGGCAGCGATGTAGCGTCGGTGCGCACGCGGCTCGCCAGTCGATTGACAAGTCAATGTGTGCGGACGCCACAAAGAGGATACCATGCGGGAGGATACCGAGAGGAGGTCGAGGCCTCCTCCTCGAAGACATTTCGTACGGGGTGGATGAGAAATATACGATTGTACGCGTCTCATTTTCCACGGTTGTCACTACACTTTGTTACGGCATTGAAAACCCAGCCTTTCCCAACTTTTGCCTCTGGAGTTGCATCCCCGCGCGCTCTTCGATAGCAATTTGCCTTAATCTCTCGATCTGATTTTCTTTTATCTCAACAGCAATTGCCACAGACACCCATACGCGTTTTTATTATGATGCGTCAAAGATACGACGCACGCATATTTCCAAGCTTTAATTTTCAATTTCACGTTGATTGCAATGAAGCTAATTATTGCGGATTTCAGATTACACTATTCTTTAAATTTTGATTTAAATCTTCTTCGCAAATTATTGTCTAGATGAGAACAAAATTACATTTCCGTGATACTCGTGATAACAATTTGCCGCGAAAATGAAAACTTAATATCGTATCTCGTGAGATAGCCTAAATTGCAAATGGAGGGACAGGCCACGCATATGCGGGTCGTAATTTAAAGTTTCGAAATTCGTCAGAAACGAAACGGTTAACGCGAAAGTTTCGAACTGTTTCGTGATAAAGTATCGCGACGACATTCCGATTCAGCGGAATCGAAAGGACGATCTGCTTTACAATAGACTCAGGCAGGCATTCATAGTTCGTTCTTATTTCAAGATCGTCAATGTCTTAAGATGCTAATACAGCTTTATGGTTGGCATAAAACACACTCAGACTATGCTGGCCTCAATGATATAATACTTTGGTCTTACCGCTTGCAGTTGCGTGTATTCATTGACGTTGGTTTCGTATGCCCATTGAGCTATCACGTTAGCGCTACACCTCTCTGCGCCGAGAAAGTCCAATCTAGCTAGAATATTTTGGTAATTGATGTCGTTAGGCGGTAGTTGTCGACCGGTGTCTTCGTCTCGGTACAGTGGTGGTTGTCGACTAACATCTTCATCTCTGTACAGCGGTGGTTGTCGGCTAATATCGTCGTTTCTGTACGGTGGTAATTGTCGATTGGCATCTTCGTTTCTGTACGGTGGTAATTGTCGATTGGCATCTTCGTTCCTGTACGGTGGTAGGTCCAGTTGACCGGAAACTGCTGATAACAGGCAAAGTACGAACGCTGTCCATCTTGCCTAAAAATCACATTCGTCATATATACATAATTGTATGTTCCTCGATTCCACTTTAAGACGCACACACGCACACATGCAAAAGCGATCTGTTTACACTCAGGAAAAAGTTTCTTTGAAATGAAACAAACTTTCTTTGAACTTTCACCTTACTAAACTTTTATTTTATTTCAAAGAAATGATCTCTTTGCCTCAATCAAAAATTTATTTGGTTGAGACTGGAATCTCTAAGAGTCGAAGAGAAAGGATATCTATTTTTTCAGCAAATGTTTTAGTACAAGTAAATAAAAATGTAGTAGATTCAAAGAAACGTAATTTCAACATATCTCATTTGTTTAACTTGAAAAATCTGTTTTTCTGGGTGTACGTTAAAAAATGATGACAAATGCAAATTTTGTAATATTGATTCCATATTAACAAAAGTATTAAATTAAATTTATTGCAAAACATTAAGTGCTTTCTTCTTCTTCAGTACACTATATCATATCTCTAATGTTAACGATCGTTTTATAGATCAGTAGTTCTGTGATTATGTGATTTGTTCACTAAAAGGCTGCCCTGGGACTTTTTAAATTTCAGGTTTCTCTCTTATGCGATAGGCAGCAATAACCGAAATAGTTTCTGGCAAACAAAATATTTTGTCCTAAAATAGCATTCGCTCTACTTGAAACTTTTGTTAATTTTATAACCAATTTATTTCCAACTTTATATTAATTAACTTTCGCTTATCATTTTATTTTTATTTAACCCTTTGGCCTACAACCACGAGTGAGACTCGTGGTACTTCGTTCGCGCGATCGACCTTCCTGTTTACTATGGCCCGAGCAATCGGGAGATAGCGTGTAGGCCAAGGGGTGAAGTATCGTTCAATATCCGGCGTATATTTCGGTGTATTTCTGACATTTCGGAGTACACGTGCTGATAACGACGAGGTTGACGAACTCGATGCCGCGCGTGTGTCGATTGATTTATATCGTGGCGTTGGCGTACAAATACACGTGAATTTCGCTCATTTTCCTTGCCTTTAACCTTCGGCTTGTCGTTCGAAATTATATAGAGAAGCCACGTAATTTACCTTGTTACGTTCTCTACTTCTGTTGGCTTTGTATACATGACATATGAACATTTCAGAGCTTTTCCAGAGAATGAGTCTTTTAGGCAGGCCTGTCAGACATATCATCGATTCAGATAAAGCAGCTTAGGTACCAAATAAATGTATAACCCGGCTATTGACCTCTTGTGACCTCTTGGTAACGGATCGCCATGTCTTTGTAAACTTTTATTCCTTGCTACGTTATTTTCAACGTCGCCGAATTATTGATCAACTTATAAATAAAGTGGGAGTTTATGATTTACGTTTTAGCTTGCTGCTTTCATCGCCAGGAAATTGAAAAGTGAAAATTGAAAATTTCAGATGAAAAGATGCAGATAATGGAAAATATACTTTGGACTGAAATTAACATGTCAAATGTGTTATAAGTCAAAAATATTTCTAACAATTAACGCGTTACTTATGGACTCAATATAATATAAAAATAAAATCTTGAATAATCTCTCAATCTCTCTCCCCCCCCCCCCTCCGTCTCTCCCTGTCGAGAAAGAGAGAGAAGGAGAGAGAGATTTTATTTAAACTAAGACACCAATATGAAAAAGTGAAGACAGGAAACATGATTGATTGAGCCATCGAAAGTATTTGAAGATTTTAAGATCGAGCGAGAGACGTATAGCGATGTGGATAATGAGCTTAGCTTTCTCTCGCGCGACAACAATTATAGTCGATTCGCGAAACGATGGGGCCTTGCTTCGTGCAACCGGGACTACAGCGCCAGAAATTACCGCGCACAAATTGTTATGGGACCTCTCGCTCTTTTACAAGTTAATATAAAAACGTCATTGTTTCTCTAAATCACACCATGACATTACGCGCGGGGCATTTATGCGCAATTCACTTGTTGGTCTCACGGTCACGTGTTACGTCTTCGCGTTACGCACTTCCTCTCGATACGAAAGGTGTCTGCTTATATGCACGGTAGTAGGTCACCTGCGGTTGATCGAGATGCGATGACCTTGATTCGGTACACTGATAGAAAAGTATGTAGTATTTGCGACTATAATTGCATAGTAAAATAATTATAGTCAGGAATATCATTTTTATAGTAATTATCACTATAATAATAGTAATAACAACCACATAGTCACAGTGATGCCAATAATAG